CATGATTTGTGTCCTAAAGCCTTTTTGTTATCTCTCCTTGAGTTCAGGCTCAAAATCCATAAATTCACCTAAGCCAGCACGGAAAAGGACCTTTGGAGAATTTGTCAAATTTATTCCACTGCCTCAGAACAGCATCAGCTCTCCTGAATCGCAGTTTGGCCAAACTGCTCTTCGAAGCTTCCACCGATGGAGCCTCCGAGCCCATCCCAAACCATCTGTTCCACTGCTCCACTCTTCTGGCAATCAGAGGTTAGGAAGTTTTTTCCTAACACTTGTTTCTCTTGCTGCAGTTTGAGCTCAGCACTTCTCGGCCTCCCACCACTGGCTACGGAGAACAGTTGACTCCTTTCCCCTTTGCAGCTACCTTTGACATACTCGAGTACTGTTATTTCTCCTCACAGCCCTCTCATCCCTAGACTAAACAACCTCATTTCCTTCAGTCTTTTCATGTTTTCTAGGTTTCTGCTCATTTTTTTTGATGCTTTTCTCTGGAGTCTCTGCAACTGTTTCCTATTTTCAGTAGAGGGGAGCATCCTGAATCAGGCATGGCACAGCTGAACATGACAGCCACCCCTTAAAACTCCATAGAGAGAAGAGCAGAACCCCCCCCACCTCCACTTTGCTTAATACCCATTTCTTTGTATTTTGCTGTCGAGTTAAAGGGATGTCGTTCCATCTCCCCCTTCTCTAAAATTTCATCCTGATTACCACCGTGCCAAACCTCACTTGGTACTCTAACCTTCTGAGCAGCCTGAGACTTCTTTGCTCTGGATGTCCTACTTCAGTCCACATCCTACATCTTCATTTAACAAGGACATCCTTGCTATGCATCTTCAACTGGGATATGGAGGATCTACTTCAGGGGACAAAAGAAGCTCTTCATCAGGGAGTTACCCCTAGGAACAGGGCTGTGATCAGTAAATCAGCCCATTATACTCCCCTTAACCTCTTCTGCTCACCCCTTTGGAGAAGAGCGGGTCTTCTGATGACCTTGATTAAACTGCTTTTGCTTGTAAAAATGACCACTGATGCACAAATCCAGACTCTCCCCATAGTTAAACCAATGGAGAGGCAGGGAAAAAAGCACTAAAGGATTGTAAAACCAGTGCAAGATGAGAAGCTTTTGTTTTAGTCACAATTGTAGACATGCATCTCAGCCAGACAGAAAATACTCTTGACTTCACGGTACATAAATGAACAGGCAAAACGCACTGATTTAATGATAGCAAGCTAAGAGCTCCTCTACAATGACAGCAGTTGTTTTTTACATTGCTTTCCTGCCAGAGAGCCCACCCCCAAACCCCATCGTGCCGGGCAGCGAACAGACACAAAACACCACTCTAAACCCACGTCTAACTCAGGAGACAACAGACAGGCACGTCCAGCAGGAGAGCACCAGGAGACAGTGAGTCAGTACAGACCAGCACAACATGCACTGGTCTCGGCTCATCGGTCACACAACTAAAGCCAAAGGTTTTGTTTAGGGATTGTTTGTTTTGTTTTGTTTTGTTTTTTTTTTCCATTTTTTTTCCCATGGGTGTTTTAAGGAGGAGCCAGGAGGAGAATTAAAGGCCAGCTCTGTGCTTTGTGGCTGCGTCCAAGGAGAACCTTCCATGCATGAAAGTCAGAAGGGCAGAAGGTGGGGACAGACTTTTTAGTAGGGCCTGTAGTGATAGGACAAGGGGTCATGGTTTTAAACTAAAAAAGGGTTGATTCAGACTAGATATAAGGAAGAAATTTTTTATTATGAGGGTGGTGAGACACTGGCACAGGTTGCCCAGAGAGGTGGTAGATGCCCCATCCCTGGAAACATTCAGGGCCAGGTAGGACAGGGCTCTCAGCAACCTGATCTGGTTGAAGATGTCCCTGCTCATTGCAGGGGGATTGGACCAGATGACCTTGAAAGGTCCTTCCCAACCCAAACTGTTCTGTGATTCTATGAAGGTACAAAAGTGTTTGTCTGAAAATCAAGCAAGCGGATGAGGGAGCTTGGTGTCCCAAGCAGAATGGAGGTGGAAGGTGGTATTTTGGTTTGTCTGTTACTTTTGACCCTCAATTGTTTGGTTACTTTTTATCATCATTAGTACAGTAGCACTTATAGGGCTCATCAGAGATAATGGCCAAACTGCCTAGGGTCTACATGAACCCCTGTCCCCAGTTATGAGGTAAAAAAGAGGCACAAATCGTCTCAACCTTGAAGCAGTCATTGTTTGATCATCTGAATGTCCCCCAGTGGAAGAAATTATTCCCAGGTATTTCCCAGTATTTCCCAGAGCATTGTACAAAGAGGTCCTACATAAAATATCCCACAGTCTCACATAAACACAATCCTCTGAAGAGAAACTGAGCAGGTACTGCTGTAAATACAGATTAACACTGCGTGGATTGGATATGGAGAAGAGTCCCTTTCCCCAACTGCTCTGGAAGGAAGTTAGAAAGAAAATTTAGCATCTTCCCCTCTTGCCAAGGATCTCCTTGAAAAGTAAAACCAAAACAAAACCAGGCTTATAAAAGCACAGCATTTCAAGGACAGCATCAGCAACACACCCATGTGCAGACATGTACATTTGAAATGCACTTGTCAAATTAAAAATAAATCTATCATCTTCCCTGTGTCAATATAGCCAGAGCAGGAACTTCAAACCCGATTAGCAGCATCCTGCAGCCTGAAATTCCTCCTTTGAGGTCTCAAAGCAGAATATAAACCGAAGGCATAAGGAAAATGGCAAAGCCAGCAATTCAGTGCCTTCCCTTTGAGTCCGTACAATAGCTGGCGTAACACTGCGGTGGCTGAATACTCGCCTTTTGTGCATGAAAACCAAAGTCCAGCCGCGCGGGTTTGTTGCAGACGAAGGCAGGTTTTAGGAGAGCAAAGGCATCAGCCTCAGGCTCTACCACATCCACCTGATCTGAACCACTATTTAAGAGAACAACTCGGTCAACGCACCAACACCCTGAATGCACAATGCAGTTATATCAATAGTGTTATATTAGGGATAATGCATTAAAAAGCGAGGGGATGGGGTACCACCGAGTGAGACGGTGTCCAAACTAAGGCCAACATTTTTAAATCCAGCCACCGATGCAGGAAGCTGGTGGAACTGGCGTGACTGGAAGGGAAGTCCCACTGACCACAGCGCCAGGACCGCGCCGGCACAGAGATCCCCTCGAGTGACATCGGCCAAGCATCGCTTCCTGCCCCGCGGAGGCTGCGTGGGACGGCCGGGCGCATCTCAGCACGGCCGCGTTTCCTCTTGGGGGGGGGAATGAGGATGTTTTGAAAACATAGGTGGCTTGCAAAGCACTTTGGGATGTATCTGGATGAAAAGCACTCTTATGCACATCGATAATTAGCACTAACCGTCGGCGTGTCACACCCTCATGGAGAGCGTTTAGCAGATTTATTCAGCTCTTGCTGGAATGCCGGAGCACAAGCTGGATATTCAGAAGGCGATGTGAGTGCCCTTTCATGGGGCAGATGCTGAGGAGCTAATGATGTTTGATGAGTTAAGGCCAGTGGTGACTCAGGATCAGCAATTAGTTGATTTCTGCAGGAGGAAGGTGCTTTGCTCCATTAAGCTAAAAGCAGCCTCCACAGTTCAGCAGGCACAAAGTCATTCTGCCCATCTCCCACAAAGCCTGCCCACATACATCAGGGGTGTGTGTGTGTGTGAGATTTCCCATGTAAACACCCGGTATTACCTTTGTCTCAGTACATTTGGGGGGGGGGGGGGGGTCAGGGAGCAAAAGAACCGGATTCCCTCACAACTCCATCCCGCAGCCAACCCGATCCTCCCTCGAAGGGGATCAGACACACAAGGCAAGGATTGCCCAGAGTGACCGGGCACGCAGGCTAATGCGAGGGGATGCAGCACCACCGATATCTACCGGGCTGCACCCATTTTTGGAGAAGGCTAATAACACCGGATCGCAAATCAGATATCCCTCCAGCCCTGCCCTAGCCTGTGACAGGGGACTACAGACATCCACCTCCCTCCCAAGGGTAGGCAGCGATGCTTCCATCCATCAATAACAGGCACTGGGGAGACACCAGCTGCGCTTGTTCTGCCTACCGTTCCCAAAACACACGCAGGCAAAAGCAACTGGACCAAAGCTGGTGCCCTCCCTCCACCTCTCCCCGCTCTCTCCGGATGGGAGAGCACCCAGCTCTCTCCCAAAGGTTGATCACTGGAGTCAGGGAGTGGGATCCTGGCTTCATCCCGGGGAGCGAAGTGCCGAGTCATAGGATGGCAGCTCGATGTAGCCACGTCTCTGAGCTCTAATGCTCGTGGCACGCAGCGAGACCGCCAGGCGCAGGGCGCAAAGAACAGTTATTTCTTTCAATGAGTGGGGAATGTGACAGGGCGAGCATTTGGACCCTCTTTTTACAACTTCTTTGAAGTGTTTCATCTCAGCCGCTAATGACACAAAAGGCTATCGAAGCACTACTGGTGCTATCTTCAAAGGGTTTGAACGTTAAATGATTAATAGGAACCGCGCGTGGGGAGGGGGAAAGCGACCGTTATGGGGGTGTTGGGGAGGATCCAAGAGGTATTATTACCTTCGCTCTTTGGGACAAAGGTATTCCCAACCTCCCCCTAAAACGCATAGCTTCAAAGGAGGGGGAGGTGTGACAGTCGCAGGTCCCGGGTGAGCGGGGTGCAGCAAGAACTGCCCCAAAACGGGGTGTCCGGTCCTGCCGTGGCCATCACCCCGCTGCGGGGCAGGGGACGAGCCGGCGGGGTGGGGGGGGTCTCGGAGATGCTCCCACCCTCTATTCCCCGAGCAATGGGGGGGGGGGGGGGGGGTGGCACGATCAACGCGGGCAAGGGGCACCCCAAGCCCTGCCGAGGCGGCGGCAGGTGCAGCCGGGCGGGCGGCGGTTGCCGGAGGAAGGTGGGGAGGGAGGCAGGAGGTGGTGGTGGGGAAGCCCGTTTTATCCTCGGAGCCGCGGGGTAGGGATGAGATGGGGGGAGGGGGGGGGTTGGTTTGAGACTTACGTATCTCCGTAACTTCTTCTCCGGCGGTGACTTTCGGAGCCAGCCCGAGCACACCACCTCCCCGCCGCTCATCGCGGCGGCCGGGCGCTGCCTCCCGGCGCTCAGCGCCGGCAGCGCCGGCCCATGGAGGGCGGTGGGTGGGTGGGTGGGGGGATGGAGGGATGGATAGATGGATGGGGAAGGGAAGGGAAGGGGGGGGGGGGGCGATGAGCGCCTCCCCCCGCCGCCGCCACCGCTCGGCTGCGAGCGGGGAAGCAGGAAACTGGCTCCTTCCCCGGCTCACCCCGCCTCCCCGCCCGGCCCGGCGCCCCGCCAGCCTGCTTTAAAGATACAAACCCCGCGGGGAACAGGGGCTGCCCGGCCCCCCCCGCGGGCTCCCTGCCACCCGGGTGGGGCTGCCTCTCACTTCTGGCCTCCCCCCCCGGCACCTCTCTAGAAACTTTATGCACCGCGCAGCAGGTGATCTGCAAGCGCAGCGGAGCACTGCCTTCAGCAAAAAGTATCCCCCCCCCCCCGCCCCAAGCCTCTCCACTGCGAGGTTTAATCACCAAGGACCCTTCCTCTCTCTCGATGGGAAAGGTCTTTCTCACACCGGAAAGGAGAGGCTAGTTTTTGCCCCGCTGTGCTCAGGGGCTTGTGAGTGAGATGAAGGTGCCATAGGGAAGACAAAGAGGTTGAGCAAGAAACTGCCAAACGCCAGTAAGAGCAAAAATGCTCCTGGATGGGAAAAAAAAAAAAAAAAAAAATAAAAAAATATATATATATATATATATACAAAATAAAAAAAAAAAGGAGGGAAATCGATAAAAGCTTTGTATTTTATTACTGATTTTTAAATAATGGAGCAGTGCCCACCAAAAGGGGTTCCGACTGCCACTGGAGCCTCCTGCAGACAAGCCAGGGTTTGTATTACAGCATATTATACCCCAGCTGAGATTAACTATCATCTTCCAGATCTAGAAACACTGTACATTTAAAACTCTGATCCTCTCCCCAGCTCAGGCAGCAATAAAACTTCCCTCCACAGCCCTGTGAGCAGGATTATGCTCTAACCCCCCTTTTGCTGCATCCTTAAAAACAAAAACCTGGGCATGGTACCCATAAAAGCCAAGTCCTCCTTGCCCACGCCGCCCACTTCCTAGGAAAATACAACTTGGAGTTGTTTGCTGGGGATGGATTTCCAAGCCCTGTCTCTATACGGCAGCTCTGCCCCAAACCTGCTCGGGCACATTCAGTCATCCCTGCCTCAACTTCCCTGCCTGTCCAACCTCCGTGGGCAGAGACGGTCCCTCCTTACGTGTTTGTGCTGTAGCTCGGTGCAATAACAACTCCGTGCTGGCTGGATGCTCTACTGTAAGTCAAACAACAACAATCTTTATACAACGCTGCCTGCACGGGGATCTTGCATCACTTTAGAGCAGCAATTACAACTCGCAGTGCCTCTGGGAGGTAGGCATGCACCTCTTTTTGAGATGGGGACAGCACTGTTCAGCCATATGTTGTTTATCATCTTTGTGAATACATAAAGGAGGGGAATAACCCCTTAAAGAACAAGTATGTAATTTGTCAGGAATGTATTTTCTCAACAGTTTGGTTTTTTTCCGCCAGTGAAACACAAAGGCTAAAACTGAAGATTTTTCTACCTTCTCACTGCCCAAAGGGAGGGTTTGATCCTGTCCAAGCGCTGGGCAATGTCTGCGCAGACGCTGGCAATGGTCGGATCGGCTCGCCCATCGGCATGCGTGATGGAACCGGGAGCAGGGGAGGACAGAGAGGCCGGTTCGGTGCTGGCATCAGCCAGCATCGCCTTACTGAGTGCACTTTAGCTGTATCAACTTACACTGCATGAGAGCGAGAGCCTAGCCCGCAAACTCTCCTGGGTTCAAAGCACTTTGTGCATTCGCAGGGAAAACCGCGTCCTGGTGACCTGAGCTTGAGAGCTCTTCCCAAAACCCAGAGCAATTTCAGGCAGGCCGGTGACCTACTGGGGATTTATAATGACCCAGTTGAGAGCAGATGATTGTGATTAATACGAAGGTATCGTGCAAAGCCATTCCATGGTGCGTGTTAATGATTCACAGGTTAGGAATTCACTCATACTGACACCAATGCAAAGTGGTATCAGTTTGAAAACCAGTTGCGGAGAACCCTGTCCGCATTTTTATGTTAACAACTTTCACCGTGCAGGGTTGAAACACTTCATTCGGACGACGGATGTTTAAAAAAAAATGCTCCATAATTATCATCGTGTGAATAGGAATGAATTATTCTACACACTCTGTGACAGCTTGTGGTTTACTACTCTGCTGCCTTGCTGTACTATCCTTTCTCTCTGCTCATCCCCTCTTCTGGATCACATTTACTGAGTTGGTTATAGCAGAAGATATATCTGAACGGCGTCCAAAACATGAAGTACCCCTGTGAATGCTTTTTTTTCTTGCCTTTGGTGATGCCTGACACATGTACCTCAGATTGCTGGGACTTTTGGCTGGGAAACATGCTGCCATCTCAAACGTGAAATATAAGCTCTGCGCAGAAAAATGCTTGAAACAAGGATGCTCCACATGAACGTGCCTCCCCAATTCCACTGTGGCTGTACGCAGAGTGGGAACAGTGAGTTAATTCTGTCATCAGGCTGCCAGATTACATACGATCCAATGCATGTAATATTACAATGCCTTATAATGCTGGCCCTACTTAAAGCATTTGGCCAGAAAGACAAATATCACCCTCGATGCCTCTCGGAGTTAAAGATGATGTATGTCATGAACGCAGCTCTGATTTGGCAGCACTTGCACGTTCGTAACAGTTTTACCAACTTCAAGCTGTTTCTCCAACCGGCGGTGGAGACTGAACTCACGCTGGCCCCAGCTGACTGCGTAAATCTCCGGAGTCTGAGCTAACAGCCAGCAGCCTTGGCGGAAAACTGTGAAAACCACATCCCCGTGTTGGAAAAACGCAACGAGGGAGTTATACAAAGCCATCGAGAATCTGTCTCTGCCAGCAGGAGCATCTGAAGGGGGAACAGCAGAATTAGCAGGCGTAGCAAGGGAGAAATTAAGAGATGTCATATAAGAAATCATATTCCTTGCACAAGTGTAGGGCAGAAAGAAAAACATTTTTCCAAGAAAGAGCCCTTCTGCCACGTGTTTAATGCGCTGGGCTGCACGAACCAGTTACACTTTCTCCTGCAGAAACCTCAGGGGTTTTTAATCATAACCTTCACTGTGCTTTCTTGTTCTTGCCTGAAACTGAAAGCTATGAAAAAATCAGAACTTCTAAGAAAGAAACCACAATGCCCACCGCTTCTCCTGCCTGCTCCCAATTTATTTAAATGAGCTGTGCCATCTACTGGCAGAAAGGAAAGCTGCAGGCACAGCAGTTCCCCGGATAAGCAGCAGGGATGGATGGAGACACAGGGCATTTCCTGTGGATTAGGGACCAGCTGGTTGAAATGCTTCGGGCTACTTACCCCAGCCATGCACTAATCCCTTGGAAATGCCCTATACTGAGGTTAATATAAACCGAAACATGCTGGGGGGCGGGGAGGAAAGCCTTTAAAAATCTGCTGTGCTTCTTAGTGCTGCTGCACGTCTGCTTTTCAATTCTGAGCAAATGCTGGGTCTCATGAGATCCAGCTCCACAATACGACCTGACTTTATCTTCACGCAACAGTTCCTGCAGCAGAGCTAGATGGAAGCAGCTTTTTTTAATTTCATCAAGAATTTTCAAGGTTAAAAAAAAATAATCTCCTCTTTCAAGAACTCGAGTCTTTTCAAGCTTTCACCCTCCGTAAAAGAGCACTGCAAGCCTCCCAGAACCGCCACAATCAAAGTCAAACCACAAGATGGTCCTTTCCTTCGCATGATCGACAGCAGCTCCAGCAGCACTGGCTGCTTCCCATGCGCGGGGGGGAGTAGTAGCTTTGATCAGATAACGAGACAGTTTGAAGCATCTTCACTACAGTGTTCTGGCAAAGACAGAAGCATCAGAGCTCTAATGCCTTAATAAAGAGTCAAAAAAGAAAAGAGGGAAGAGATGACTTGAGGGTCAGCAGTGCTCAAGGTATACACGCTCTCTTGGACTTGATGATCCAGTTGCTAGTGGTGGTGATGGGAAAACAATGGATGAAGCCTGCTTTGTCCCCTGTTGGAGATCCTGGCAAAAACTAGCACATCCCATCAAGAATGGATGCAAACAGCCGGGCAGCACGGGGAAGGGGCTGGGGTGCTGAGGTGGACGGTGTCTGTGAATGCACCCAGAAGACACTTCCAGTCCTTGCACTTGAAGATAATTAAATGGGTTTTCCTATTTGGGAACCACAGTCCAAGCTGAAGCCCAGTCCTGCTTCCCTCAGTAAACTGGACAGTTAGAAATAATTTTGCCTGGATCTGAGCTGGGACAGAACACTACTGAAATATTCCTCAGTTTTGGGTCCAGGTAGAACTTCTTCATGCCTGGTCCCCCTTTCTAGAATGGAGAAGTTCCTCATGCAAACTCTCCTGCCTGGATCCAGATACATTTTTAGCAGCTACATCTACCCTTTTCTTTTTCCACTTATGCTGTTTCTATCATGGAAGAGAAGGAAACTGGGAGTTTTCCCATTTTTTTTTCTCACCTTCTCAAGACAGAAAGCCATTGTAGCATTGCTTGGTGGAAAGAGCACCAGGCAATGCTCCAGACACAGACACTATTCTGACTTAAGCATAAAAGCCACTTCACCCTTGTTTTTTTCTGATGAGGCCAGAAGGTCTGCATGGAAAGGACTCCCTCTACGGACACTATTTGGCACAATGGGGCTTTGACCACAGCTGGGTCCAGGGTGAGCAACCATAAACCAAATGATAATAAAACAAGCAGGGAGAAATCTTCGCCGGGCTCCCCTGCCTGTTTACCCAACCCTGGTACACTCTCACATCCCTAGTCATTACTTCAAGAGCAGATGGTGCTCTGTGGTAGGGCAAATGAGCAATTATCCTCCTGACACCCCGCAAGGCCTCCCCGCATGCGATCGCAAGAAGTTACTTCACCCCAAGCTAAGAGCTGTTGTCTGGCTTTTCAGCATAATTGGATGTAATCGAGTTTAATTTGGTTGGTGCAGTAACTCTGAAGACTTTTGTAACTGGATTACTGCTGGCTCAACGGTCATGTGCCATTATATTTTCTGGTCAAAACAGAAGCCAGAATAGAAACAGATGCTTTCCCCCCTACTTCTCCTTCCAGTGACACCCCTTCAGGATATGATCTTGCACTGCACAGTCTATATAATGAACTAAAAATTCTATTAGAAGAAGGAAGTCATTGCTGTCATATTACGTTCAGGCCTCTCCTAGAAAGTGTAAATTATCTGTAATATGTATCTCTACATTTGTTTACAAGTATAGACCACACACAGCTGAGAAATAAAACTACTGGAGCATAGACCTATGATGCACATGAGCTTTGAGACATACAAATCTTATTATCTTTACTGTACAAGTAGGGAAGCTGAGACCATGAACAGGAGTGAATGGCTGAAGAGGCAGGAGTTCCTCAGGTCCCATTTTCTGCTGTACATCACCAGCTGAGAAAAAGGAATGTATAAAATGTTGTGTTTATAGCAGAAATAGCTCTACTACAGGTGATCTATAGGTAAGAGAGTAGCACCTGGCAAACATAACAAAGCCAGCAGCATAAAGACCTTATTTTCAGCCCCACCCCAGCTCCTACCAGTACTAAGGCACTGAAGCAGCATGTAAAAGCTTGTTCCCATCATATTCTGGGTCAAATTTTGAAAATTCAAGACCCCATGGTCTTTTTTAATGACCTCAAAAAGCTGAGAGTTAAGACATGTGGAGATTCTCCTGACAGATGGTGAGGCCAGGCAAATGGAGATTGAAAATCGTCACTTTCTTAACAGTGAAAATAATCACTGGAGTAATGTATGAAGGTGATAGGCTCTTGTGGTTTCAAAGCAATTTAGGCCATTTGGAAGCATAGGAAGCATATTCTATTCCTGGCTGAAATGTCTACTGCATTTTAGACAGACACCTCCTAAAATTCAGCTCGATTTTGAATTGCAGATCAACCATAAAAAGACCAAAGTGTGAAGAGAATTCCTTAAGATGAGCACCAAAGGATGCTCTCCAGCTCCCAGCCCCGACAGCTACGGAGCAGCCACCCTCGCAGCTGAACGCTGTTAAGCCGTGGATGCAGGCATATGCATCTCTGGTTTTGGCCAGATGGCTATTTTGAGTTTCTAATGATCTAGGAAATGAACACTTCATAATGCTCTATCTCAGAGGGTTTAGCACAAACTTTCTTCCTTTTTTCCATACCAGCACTGTTACAGGTGGTGCTAGATGGAAATCAGGGACTGGAGTAACACGGTGCTAAAAACACCATGTGTTAGCGTGCGCTCCAAGGAGACAGCAATGTAATCCTGCCTGGCAAGTCATCCATCAAATTCATTAAAATAGGCTCATGAAATTTGTTAAATACATAAAGCCTATACTTCCTAGATCACTCTAAATGCTAATAATTTATTAATGCCATTAGTAATAATGAAATTTGAAAGACTGTTTGAAGCCACTGTATAAACCAGGCCCTCGGATTTGCTTTCCATGGTTATTCGGGTTTTGTGGGTGGCAAAGTTCAGACGTGTAGGGTGATATGGGAAAGCACCACCCATGCACGTTTAGAGAGGCACCCAAAGCACACCCTTCCCAGCACTTCAGCTGCTCTGCAGAGCCCCTTCTTGGTGGTTACGATGCTGTGTACACGCTGTTGGACAAGCCTGAGTGCACACAGTGATTTATTTATACTAAACAACTGCAGAGGTCATTTCAAGTGCTTCACAGAGATGCCATCGTGTGACTCCAGCCTGCCAGAACGAGGCCTCATCGGTTACAGTGATGCCAGAATCGCTGCAGTGCTTGCAGCTGGATCTCCTGGAGTTGCAAACTGGCTACTGGCTGAGCACTGAGTTTCCGTAACATCACACAGAAATGGGAGATACCTCTTCTCCTCTCAGGCAGAGAAGCCTGGAACTCTAACCCTGATCCTAACTTTTGCTTCCCTTGTTAGTCTCTGGCAAGTCCCTTCATCTGTCCCTGACTTTTCTGCACTCATCTGGAGCACCACAGTTGTGTGAATGGCCCTGGCAGCACCGACACAAAGAGGTCAGTAAGCCTTGAAGTTGTCTAGGGCGGGTGTCTAGCTGTCTCTTGCTTGGATAGGGAGCCTGTGCCCATGCATTCATCACCAGAGCAGCAGCAAAGCTGAGGGACAAGCAGAAAACTGGAGACTTGTGTCTCAGAAAAGTATGGATCACAAGCCTGCTTCACAAGGCTTAATCATAGTACTGAGCACTTACAGCTCAGGATCTTCAAACGGTAACAAAGACAGCACTGAATTAATGCTTGAAAATCACTTTGAAGGTAAAGACACCATAGAAATATTACTGCAATGCCATCGTGTCCATGACGTAATTATTGTCCCCTGTGCCTGGAAATCTAGCAAATTTCGGAAGTCATGGTGGATAGTATAGAAGAGTCCAACAGAGAAACTTATGTGTTTACATGATTTATCAAGGCCACCTCCCAGACCACACTATCATTTTTCCTGAGCAGTTTGAATACTTTTTTTTGCCAGCAACCCATATGATCAGTGACTTTTGAAAATTCAGACCTCCATTTTTACAGCACACACAAGTATCAGTACATCAACCTGTTGAAGACAGTAAGATATACAGCTATTGGTGAAGAGTAAAAAGCAAGATCAAGCTTTGCAAAGAAAATTAAAAATGTACTCTCTGTTGGCTGCCTCAAATTATTCAGAAAAAATCAATTGTGAGAGTAATAAAAATAAACAGCAGGACTGCTATCTCTGAAAGGCCTTGGGACATACATGGATAGATAAAAATCACTGAAGCACATTCTAGGATCTTAGAAATGCCAAAAATGCATTTGAAACCGGATCAGCTGCAAACATCCTGCCTTGCTTCTGGTGTGGCAGCACACCCAAAGGCAAACAGAGGGAAGTTTCGTGGGGAGGTGCTGAGCAAGGATCCGACTGATTTGGGTCAGTTGTGCCACACATCTTCCATAACCATGGGTAAGCAGCTTGATTGCTCCGTGCCTCAATTTCCTGCAGTAAAATAGTGCCAGCAATAAGAGCAACAAGAATGCTGAAGTAATTTCATCCACATTTCACCCATAATCGAGCCTACAATTTCTGATGGAGCTAGTATTTTAATGGCCACACAGTCTTGCCCCTCTTTTGCCCTTTATGCGAAAGCTCTCCCTTTACAGCATCTTTGCCAAACACCTCGTGCAGCGGACACCGAGACACAGCTGTAGGACAGATAATAATACATTTCACAGCAGCAATAAAACAACAGGAACCATAATTTCTTTGAACTCTGGGTCAACCTTGTTGTTAGCCAAGTCTGTAAGAACTCATATAGTAAATTACATACGTCTCTCTACCAGCAGGATCATAAAATATAACTTTACAATCCTTCCAAAGGTCATGGCTCTGCAACAAACAGTAAGACAAAACAACAAATTCACCCCCAAGACCACCATTTTTGTGGCTGCAGCAGCTTTGGTTATGTCTGAGGAAATCAGAACTTTGACAATCTTTATACAACGTCTTTCTTATTTTTCCTTTGGACCCATCTCCCAATTCTCCTGAAGTGTAAGGCAGAGGGTAAAACAACAGTAATAAGGGCTGTTATTGGTTTCAGCAGCAGCAAAGCCACATTTATCTCTATACACACATTTAATGGAAACAATGCCCAAAGTGTTTCTTGGCAAATTAGTCACCTTCTCCCCCCGAAGAAAAACACATCTATAAGCCATTTCCAAAACAATCAATATTAGTCCAGCAAGCAAAACTGTACATTACATTTCCCATCAAAGTCTTGGCATTCCCTCAAACAGGCGATGCTTTACAAATTACAGCTACTATCAAATAAACTGGAGAGAGGACTGCTGAGCACCTTGCTGCTTTCGCCTCAGGTCTGGGGGCCTGAGTGCAGGTAATTCAACTCAAATCCCTGCGCTGGTCTGCTGAGTTTTAAACATTTGGCCCAGCGATGTATCTGTTTGTCTATGTTTGCACAGAAGCTAGTACAACAGTCCAAGATCTAGACACTGCCACAGTATCGTAACGTAAACCATAAGGGAGAGAACAGCAACCTGTACTACTAGCTTCAGAGCATGCATTTGCTCTCCTGTGGATTTAAAAATGAGAAGACTGAGACATGGCGTTAGTTCCGCAGGTATTATTTTTTTAATTAAAAATAGAGCACTTTGGGATACTTTGATCCTGCATATAAAAATCTGAAGTGGAGGGATTATCTGATATTCTTGAAGCGAAAACAAAGGTTTTCCTCTAAACACTCTTCTGAGAGGCTGGCATTTGGTTATGCAAAGTTTATGGCATTGCTCTTTTATTCCCAGCGGTGCTGCTCTCCCATCACTCTGTCCTACTGCTGCAAAGACACAGATGCAATAATCAGTGACAATGCCTCTTTCTTCTGAAACTCAAAGCGAGGACAGACCTGAAAAAAGGCAGTGCCAGCTGCCGAGGAACTGAAACTTCAAGAAATACTTACCAAAAAGATGCTAGCAGAGACTGTGCTGGTCACCTGGCCTTGAGAGCTGACTGCTTACTGCACTGAAAACACTCCCATGTAAGCTACTGCACCGCATATTCAGGCTAAGAGATGATTCCTGTGTGCAAAGAATAAGTTTTTTATTTAAAGAACTATCAGAGGCTTTATCTGGTTTTGGCCATTGCCAGACTGCAGACTCTAAGCAAAGACATAGCAAGGAAAATGGTTTAAATCAAAGAAATTCTCATTGCGTCTCCCTGCCTACATGTCCAAGAGGAAAGACCTCCCCTGTCCTCCAGATTAACTTCCGTTTCACTCAGGGAGAGGAGATTTGAAGGAAATACATGACATTCCATGTGGAAATCCCAGAGAAAACATGTCGCATTCCTTGGCAGTACCAGCCCATGTTATATATACATAGCACGAGGCGAACAATGCCAGCCTGGAGGGAAAGACAGCGGCTCCCACCCTTGCTGGGTACCCATAAATCAAGCTTCTCACAAGAACGTCAGTCTCAGGATTAACCCTGAACAGTATCATCACGCACATGGGCCTCAGCCTCCACCTGCTCTCTCCCACTGCTAGGAAAAACAGCGATGTTAAAGGCTGTTTCCATGACTGGACAACCCTTTCTTCTCCCTTCTGAGCCTGAATGTTCATCTGGTTAGTTCTGTTAGGAACAACTCTGTTCTCCTCCTGCTTGTTCTGCCAGATTCCTGGGAATAGTTTTTTGGATGAGCTTTCAGACCCGAGGGCAATTCCCCCCTTAGCTCAACTTGGCCCATCAGACCTCCAACTCACCAAGTACCTTTGAATGAAATAGAAATACATGTAGAAGACTGGGGAGACTGCTCCTCTTGGACACCTAGTTGGAAACACATGAAGAAGCACTCATGGTGCATCCTTGCTACCTCTTTCTTACTATATGCCTTTATATACCTTCCTATCTACAAATCAAAGGTTCAACCTTTTCCTTCTGTCATGCAACAACCTCTTATCAAGCCAAAGAAGGAAGGGTGGAACGTACCAGTTCTTGGTTCTTGCAAGCTGTCACCTCATACAAGGCCCTGGCAGCCACTCTGCAAGCCTGTCTGAAACAGTCCTGCTATCCTTCCCTGTGACTTGTCACTTATGCCACATCATCCTACGAGTTTTTCGGCGCCTTCCATTGTCTTCTTCCTCCCTCACCTTGTTTTTCACCTGGCACTGTTTAGCCCCACCCTGCCCATCAGATCTGGCATCTCACAGAGTGCTCAACAACCTCCCGCTGACGCCAAAGCCAACACAGCCAGCCCAGAGCTGCCGCAGGGATGAGCACAGAGTGGCCAGAAGGTGGTTTTGCCATCCACCCACTCTGTTTTCAGCAGATGGGCCTTCCAGTTCAAGCACTCTCATTTACAGCAACTGTGACAGAAACAGTGACTAAGGATCTCAATAAGGACACCTGCTCATCACAAGTTATTTAGGAACATGGTAAGGATGGGGCTCTTTGGCAGCTGTTCTTTCCACATCTCTCTGCGGAGAGAAGTAATTCCAAAACATAAAGGCCAGCAACAACATTTAAGACAATGCAGTAAAAGGAGAGATGGTCCAAATACAGGAAGCTAGTCAGGTGTCTGATGTAGGAACTTCTCAGTGGTGTCAAAGGGAAGGCAGGTGCTTGAACCGTTTTGTGGAACCAGACTTACCAACTCAAGGCTGTACTGGGAAATGCAAACCAGCAAATGCACAGTTAACACCTGCCTAATCAAGCAGACGAAAGAGATATGAAAAAAGCCTCAATATGCAGGGGATGTCTGAGTGCATGCAACAAACATCTCAAAGCAATGACCTTGTGATTATGTTGTTTGCATGATAACATGTAAAAGCCCCAGCCATGGACCAAACTGAAACATAGCAGGTGCCACATGACATAAATATGTATTTTTAGATACTGCAGGTGCAGTATTATACAGCCCTACCAGAGAGAGCTATGACTGCAATATTACCAGCGCAATGCTAGTTGACAACTATTTTTCAATCTCTTTCATCTACTTGGAAGTCTTCAGGGCTGTTCTGCAGCCACTTTGTGTTGTATGTGCCAATTTACACGGGGTTCGTTAACAATAAGGTTGCTACTTTGCTTTTTTTGTTTTTATATATATTATATATATATATATATTGTTTATATTGCAGCCATCTTGTGCTCCACAGTAGCAAGCACTATGCAAATGACCATTTGCTGGATTGTAATAATTTGGAAGGGAAAAAGGATGCTGGAAACCCTCAGTTCAGTCCCAAATAAACCACTGGTTTCCAATTGCCTTAGGCAAGTCACTTGATCTTCCCATAATCCTGTCTTAAAACCAGAAATGATTATTTCTTTATCTGGCAGGGAAGCTGAGAGCATAAACCCATTAAAGACTGCAAGGAGTTCAGATCCTATAGTGATAAGCAATTACTTAATACATATGCAGTGCTTGGGAGCATATGCTGATTGTTTCAAAATATAGACAAAACTGCTTGGTCTGATAAGCACATGAGAGATTTTCTCACTAACAACAACAAAGCAAAGCAACAACAAGAAACCACCAATAAACTTCAAGTTGGCTCTGGAGAGATGAATGAACTCTCATCTAACTGAACATTTCTTTCTGCTATGAACATGTGCTCTCTTGGAGACAGAAAACAGACACCTCCTGCAGAAGTTGTGCAACTAATTTGGGTATACAGAAAAGGAAACATCCACTGAAGGAAACACTATGATGCTGAGTGCTACAGTTTTATAACAGACGAAGAAACCAGAGTTACAAAACAACCCAGCGTACATCTTTATTGATGATTCACAAAATCAAACATCATTCACCTAATTCACTCCAGCAGTTCCAGTATGACATTTCTCCTTGGTTGATTTTTCCAAGGTAAACAGTATTTGCTTTTAACTCAGGGTGGGGAGAATCATGCTTTACAGTCGCTATTTCGTAAGAGCAAATGCATCACAGCCCATGACAATACTTTGCAATTTTATAACGCTCAACCTTCAAAGCACTGTTCAGGCATTTAATTAAAGTCTATTAAAGCCTCACAGCAGTCCTGGCTCCCAGTCCATTTTAGGTCACACCTCCTTATTAATATTTCACATAAAACCCCCACTACCTCCCAGCAATTCTTATTCAGTACTTTTATAGCTTGTACTAGTCTCACAAGAATCTTAACCCCTTAGTTAAGTGGGATTCATTAATACTTCTGAAGTGCACTGAAAACACAAACTGCTATCAAATTAACTGCTGGTCCGCTTCCATAATCTCACCGGATCATATATTATTTTCAATTAAGTCAGTATTAAATTTACCAAGAGTTTCACTATATAAAAATTATCTTGATTCACCACTAAAACACACTTTGTCTTATCCTAGTATGTTATATACATATAGTCACACCAGCAGTTTTCTCCACATTGAGTCAACTGATGAGCTACAGGAGACAGGAGTGAGAAAACCTGGGGAAAGGAATAACATCTCTGATATTGTCAACTCCCAAGATGTACTGCAGGTAGCGTTCAAACCCCATTCCGAAGCCTCCATGAGGAACTGAGCCGAATTTTCGAAGGTCTAGATACCTGTAATTTAAACAGACAGTTACATTTGCAGCACGGTTATGCTGATGTAATTAGAGCGAGCTTTTTATCTAGGGTTTTGCTTTCCATCTTAATTACTTCCCTTTGACCCTAACCACTGTGGATTTCTGCCAACCCAGCCAGCATTGGTCAGGGGTGTGAAGAGGTGTGGCTCCTTGACAGGCAGAATTGTATTAACAGAAACCCCAAGTGCAAACGCATTTAAACCAGCACAGCGATGCTTTGCCAATATGCTAGAGCCTATTTTGTTTAGGAGCAAAAACTTGTCTGGGTACAAAGAACAGCTTCAACATCATAGCTCTGCTCATGTTGAATGCACCTCTGTGAATTCTAGTATCTAAAATATTCCTTGCAGAGGCACAAACTCAGGTTCCTACAGAATCACAAACATTTCCGCTGTTGGAGATGGAGCTGACTGCTTGGGTTTGTTCAGCCCTTGCCATACTGGTGCTGAAATCTGCCCTACAATAAATTCGTTCATTTTCTGTCTTCTTTTCAATAGTATAAGTCACTTAATTTCCAGTAATTTCTTCAGAAGCCTAAACAGGTCTTGCTGTCTGCTAAATATTCCTTCAGATTTTTTTTTTTAAGGTAATTGCTTTTTGTTACTTTTTCGCTAGTCACTTTTACAGACTGATTCATTTATTTCTACAGTAAGTCAGCAAAAAATCTTGGACACATCTTCCCCAAAAAATGAGATCCGGAACAAGACATTTCATTTTGGAGAAAAGCACCTGTTCTGCACAGAAAACTCAGAAAACGTTTGGAAGCAGATATTCCAAATATAGGGGTGTCAATAACATTACGATGGTTCTTCTTTAGAGTTCTTCATTTCCCAGCTGGACTGTAGCTGATGTGATACAGAGGAACTATATTTGCAGCTATAAATTGTCACCAACAGTTTTATTTTAACAGGAGTGAAAAACATCTCAGTGGTTCTATTGATTTATGGGGCCACTTCTGAGCTTGCTGAGGCCACAAAGTTATTCTTCTTTATACGAAAGCACTAGCAAAGGATTGAGTGATTCCAGATGTATTACATGCTTCTAATCTTTGTGTATGAATATTTTATCATCTCAGTAAAAAAAAAAAAAAAATCAAGTACACTTAAATATAAATGCATATGCGTGTTTTACTACTAAGGCAGTAGAGGGGGAAAAACACTATGGGAAAAAAAAATGAAGATTGGATTGATTGCAATAAATGGCTTCCCAAATTTTAACTGCTGTTAATGAATTGCAAGGAAAAAGTATATTTTTGTGTGTATATATATATATATTAATATGTAAAATATACATTATAAATATATCTAGGTCAAGCAAGTACACTTTAAATATATATATGTATTTAAGCAAGTACTCTTAAATATATGTGTACTTGCTTGGACTTCAGAATTTTGTTGGCTTGAAGACTGTATTCTAATAGAGTGAGGCCAAAGTAATGCCCCTGATCACTTCTACTTGCAAAATGAAAATACTCTCCAACAAATTCTACAGCTGCAAGACATCGCCCTGGCAGACTCAGTTTGACAGTATGCCTTTTATACCATGAAATATTATTTTTCCTTGCAGTTCATTAACAGTAGTTAAAATTTGGGAAGCCATTTATTACACTCAGTCCAATCTTCAGGCTTTTTTCCCCCCAGTGTTTTTTCCCCCTCTCCTCCACTGTCCAAGTAGTAAAACCAGAAGCAGAACTTCACAGAATCATGGAACTTCTTACCTCTTCCTACTAGCACTGCGACACAAAGTGCACTTTTGTCTTCCCTGCAAGATGAAGAGCAGGCTCAAGAGTGGGACACATATTTTCTGATCCCTGGGACCCACGTGCTTTCCATCTGTGCTGCTGGGTGTTAGCATGGCTTGCTAAGGCTCAGCTGTACGGATCCCACACCTTGTGAGGAAGATTATGCTTAGGATATGACCACGTAGGCTGTGCAACAGCATGGTGGCCTTCATCTCTATCCACTTCGTACAGCCTGCATTAAGAAGAACTTGAGTTTCTGCTAATACCCTGGGAATTACCGCCAGGGAGCTCCACTCCACATCAAGGAAGATGATGGGCAGATCTGATGCTGAGGGTGGTGACTTGTGAAAAATAAGAAAGATCTTGTAAATGTGAGGGACATGGGTGCTGGCCATGGCAGATCAATCTGTACCAGTTCAGTAGTTCTGAGCAGATATGGCAAACCAGCTGGTAACAACTCTAGTTGCAACTAGTAATATAAATAACAGCAAAATCATTTCTGATGACGTCTGTAAGCGTATCTCAGCCTGTGCAAAGATAGCTGAGACTAAGACTAGCATATTTTCTCCCCTTCTGCTGGCAACAGAGTTTATAAAGTCATTATAAGAAGATGAAATAATTCAGCTTCTTCCAGATGAACAATAATAATAAATTCTACCCTTGCTTATCCAGGACTTTCATCTGTAGATCTCAAAGCACTCTGAGAAGACATTTTGGCAAAAGGAGCGAAACAAAACCCATTAAAGTTAATGGAAAAAGTCCATTGAATTAAACATGCTGAGGATCAAGACTGTGAATCCTTTCTGATGACTGTGCTTAGAAGGAGCAAAGGAATTGAGAAATGTTCCATTCTTCACAGATGAAAGAAAAAGTAACTGCCTACAGATGAAGAGAAAATTCCCTTTAGGCCGGAAAATGCTCCCTAAGGTTTTTCTTCATTCAATAGTCTCCAGACATTTGATGTTTCTCAGCTCAAGAACAGTCATGAACTAGTCTAGCTATTTCTCCTAGTAGCTCGCACTTAAGAGGAGAGCTGAGCTCTCCATTGGCAACTGGTGGACTGTGCAACATTATCACACAGGGTAAATAAATTTCTGTGACCCCAGCTAGCCCCAGAGTTCATGTTCTGGACCTGGAGGACTGTTAGTTCTTCAGAGATTTGAATCTTACTAAAGTATGTGCTGCAACAACGTCCTCTGGCAATGAATTCCAGGAGCTTGTTATGTGCCAAGTTAGAAGAGCATTTCCTTTCATCCTTTTAAAAATCTATACCCTTTTATCATCATCACGAGCCCCTGTGTTGCACGGCAAGGTACTATTAAGATCACTGCTCTCTTAGTGACCATTCATAAGCAGTATGTATTCTTTTCAGTCCCCTTTCAAAACAAATATAATCTTGATCTTTTATGTATCCTCTTGTTACACTGAAGCCTCTGAAGCTAATTTGAGAAAAGTAAGGTTGAAAGAACAAAGATATTGCAGTCCACGAAGTTGAATATTCTACCAGAAAAAAAAAAAAGGGAAAAAATGAGGGTAATGAAAAACTACTAGTGAAATGACATTTGAAAGACTGTTCTGTTGAAAGTTTCAGGAAATAAACATGCAAAGCACCGCCAGGTTCTGATGCTGGGTAAAACGCTGTCTTTGGTTTCAGGCAGCTTCTGCTCTGCTACAACTCTTCGGGAATCCACAAAAAAAGCATTCAGGGAGGTCAATCTAAAACACTCCCATAGCCACGAGTGGGGTGTGGGAATGTTTTGGCTGGCTTTAGCACTGACTTTCTGCCTGCCTCTCTATGGCCCAGCACAGAGCTCTGGTTTCTCCTCAAAGCAGGAGTAATAGGATCAAGCGACTGCTAAGGAGACCAATGGGCTACCTGTTTTTGATGGGCTCTGAAGGAGGTTAAAGGATGATATGAATGCTGTCACTAGCCATGGACTGCAAGTGGTTCACCAGTGCTGCTGTTCCTTAAGTCTAACTCCTCCTTTTTACCTTTCCACACAAGGACCCATCAGAACACACTGGCATTCACACTTCAAAGAAAATTAGGAATTAAAGAGCCCAACACAGCTCAATCTTCATCTAGAGCAGAAGCAAGGACAAGACAACATAGTAATACCCATTCTAAGATAGCAGATAACACCTGCTCTGCCACTGTGTGCTTTCACCAGCATTACACCAGAAGATCAGAAAGGTACCTGGACTGTAAAGGTTTCAGTATGAGGCCATCTTCTCCACTGATGCGCATGATAACCGAAGTGAGGAAATGGGTGCCTTACACAGAGAAAGACTGTCTGAAATGCTGCTCAAGCTGATGGTTGTGGGGACATGTTGTTCATGACAAAGTACCTCCTCTGTTATTCCTCATGCTAACCTGGCACCTGAAGGCTGAAAACAGAATCAGGTCCCCTGTTTACAAGGCAATATACTCAATACTCCCTGGCCACAAAGAAAGCAAGTAACTTCCCAGAGCAAACTCTGATCGCCCGACTTTCCCACCTCACTTCCACAGACCTCTCCAAGTCTAGCCAAGATCAGCATCTACAGCACTGAGCTCTTTTCTATCTACAGTTCAAAGGAAGGAGTGAGAAAATAAGATAAAATAACTGCAAAATCAAGCCAAATACTTTTGCAACTCATATTCTTTATGGAAAGAAACCTGCACAACAGGAAAGATATAGTGAACTGCAGAAGATTCAGAGGACTTTGACTGGGTACTTTTATCTGCTTCTTTTGAAAAGCTTTCTAAAATGTAGGAATGGGCACAAGCACAACGGTATTTCAGATCATCAGTTGCCTCCTTGCTCAGTGATTCTCCCATAAACTCAGCACTCCTGAAGCTGTCCTAGAAGTAGTCAGCCCCCACAACATCCTCATGCTTAGTGGGAGAAGAAAACAGGTAGAAACAGAGCTACAGCAACATACAAGGGATTTCAAAAAGGACATCATCTCATATAGCCATTCTAAAATCAGCAAATAAATTTAAAAAGGAATGACTCAACTGTTGTTCAAGGAGCTTATGAGCCAGCTTTGGAGACTAAATTCAATCACTAAATTGAAGGAGATTAATTTCAGTCTCTCCTGCCACCTCCACTGAAAAGATGGATGCTGGCAAACCACCTTCCTGTTTTCTGGCAGATTCTGGATTGTAGTCCAGAAGCATCCAGGGTTGCTCCTATCCTGCACCTTCCTAGGACATCAGATCCTGCTATGGCAGGGATAACAACAGTTTTTATCTCCTCTGGGAAGTTACATCATCTGTGATGGAGTGGAGAGAATAGAGGAGGAAAGAGCCTCTAAACAAGATCACAAGAGGAAAGTATTTCCAGAATGTGATTGCTACATATCACATGAAAATGCAAATGGCTGACGAGCAATGTCTTAACCTTCTCTTGAAGGAAGCATGAGGCAGGGCTGAGCTATCTTAGTAGTGCTGGAAGGCTCTGTCACTGAACACCAGACTTCCTCAGGCTGTATCTCAGCATCTAACCACACAACTGATCATCCTTGTTCAGGGTAATCCTTCCTTCAGATGAAGTGATATGGTGTGTTCTGGCCCATAAATGCAAACAATAAAGGAAAACATTTGATTCACCCAGTTTGCAAAAGGATGATGTGAAATTCTGCCATACACTGGGCTGTTCCTAAGTGATTTCACATTTTGGGAAGAGGAGAGTGAACAATCCTACACTTACTCTGCTTTATTTCAAGGCAGCCTCCCTAATGATAAATCCAAATACTGCAGAGTATTTGAATATACACTTTTAAATTTAAAATTCTCTGCACTATCACCCTCTCAGTAGCTATGACAAAGTACATACCAAGAAACACTTGTCAACAAACACTAAGATCCTTCTGTCGTTTTCATAGGCTAAATCATTAACTCAATGGTTGATCTGTCTCCTTAGCAGGATAGTTTTAATTGCTTCAACCGTTTTGTTAGGGAAGACTTTTCAACCCAATTGCTCTGTCAATTGCAGAGGGAGTTAATTCATAGATCTGTTAAAGGTCACAAATTGCTTGTGGTTCTGTAACCTGTTTATCTCATGCAACGGCAGTCAGAATCTATTCAACTTTGAACACAGCCTAATGATTTAGTATCAAAAATCATTATGGGTTGTAAATTAATACACTTCATGCAATCGTGAAACGAATGATCTGTGCTCTAAGTGGACAAACTGGGAAGGTAAACCAAGTAGCATTCGATTAAACTTTGTTTACATGAACTGGCTGTTCCATTTAGGCTGGCGGTGATGGCAGGGCAACTGAGCCAAGAAATGTCCCCTCAAGAACAGGATCAAAAAAATGAAATAATTATTTAAAGAGTCACAAAAGAAGAAATAGAGCTTGTAGACCAAGATAATGTCTTACCATTGGTAGGCATCTGTGAGTCCTAATCTGTGGAACAAAAAGAAAATCCCTTTTAAGTAAAGGAAGTGAGGAGATCCGCACAAGCAGCACTTGCTGCCTGAAGAGAATGCTACAAGAAACGAGAGGGTGTGATGACTAAACTCAGTCCAAAAAGGAAAGGCAGGAAATTAAGGGAAGACATGATAAGTGGTTGTCAGTTCTGGTAATTGGTAGACAATCTTGAACAGATTCCCAACATGCTTCTTAAAATGCAAAGTTTGTTTTGTCAACATACAGGGCTTATCCCAGCTTCATGCAAAGACTTGTGCACATTCTTAACTTTAAGCATATCAGTAAACTCTACTTGTGAATGTTTGGAGACTACAGGCCCGAATATTAAATTTACAATGACATGCAGCCAACCTCATTTATGAGTGAGTCAAAATCTCTTCACATGTGTGGCTATGTGGCTCCTCTTCCATAGTGCACAAAACCACTGAACTCCTGTAGCTTTATTAAAAGGTGTCAACTTCTGAAAAACTACTAAATAAAATACATCTTTTTCTAATCACTACCAGTGCACCCTCTCCTTTTTCTGCTCTGGCAGAACCCCAGCAAAGCTGTTGGCTTTTTTAAATTTCTTCAAGCATGAACAGAAAACTCTGTAGGCAGAGACAACCACTTCTCTCATCTTCAGTGCATTGCAGCTGTACCTGACTGGGACTTGGAGAGCTACGGTTTGAAATGTGTATGAAGAGATAAGAATCCTGTTCTTTATTTCTCTTAGTTATGCTGGGTCTGCAGGAAGAAGAATTTAAGTCTTAACAAAGTATTTGGGCTCAGTAGACCAGATCCTGAGTACTCAAAATCGAGAAAAACTTGCGAAAAGAGGTGTTATTTTTCCAGATCATCTTCATTGCAGAGCTGTACTTCAAGGTCAATGAAGACACACCCCATTTGTAGCTTGAAATACTTCATATGACTTTCCTGACAAACAAGAAAGTCTGGCTTCAACCTCCACACAGACCCCTCCTCCAGCCTCACACCTTGAGGGTTGTGGACTGTAGATCTTACTGGAAAAAATTTCAAGTGAAAAAGTGCAGCAGGCAACACTGTACTCTGCTTCAGCTGAAGCATGCTTGCCTTGGGAGACTTCACAGAGAGAGCAGCAGGAAGCACAGGGAGTAATATCATCCTACACCACAAATTGAGAACCAATGTTCTGGTGATTTTAATTGCCCTGTGCCTTTTGGATTCGTTACGCTGAAATGGATTTTGCTCTCCACTGACTAGGTATATCTCTGTGAGCATGTGGCTGATTTAAGCAAAAAATTCATTCCCAATATGCAAATGGTGTTACTCTGAGATTAATTCTCCTCCAAAATTGCTTTGCACAAGTGTACCACTGGCCCAAATGGAAGGGTTCAAGGCCAGGTTGGATGGGGCTTTGAGCAACACTGATCTAGTGGAAGGTGTCCCTGTCCAGGACAGAGGGGGTTGGAACTGGATGATCTTTAAGGTCCCTTCCAACCCAAACCATTCTGTGATTCTATAAAAGGTTCTTCTGAACAGACAGGATCCAGGGAGTAATCGTCTGTGGAGAATTACTCCATCTATAATGTCAGTTATTTTTAATTAAGCAGCACTTTAATATTCTGACACTCAATTTAGCCTAAAATTACTCAAAGTCACATGATCCAGAATAAAGCAGCAGGGAAATAGCCCATATGACACAGTGCAGGTCCAGGGCCCTTCCAGTGAAGCTTCCCACCAAACTTAACAAAGAACCATATCCTCTGAAATGATGTCACCGAGGCCAGCTGCATCACAGCTAGCAAATCTTCTGACCAAAACTGTAGTTCCTCAGATGCACAACGTGATGACAAATATATCTAATCTCTGTCTACGTGACAACTACCACCTTTGTAAACCACTCCCAGACACAAAAGCTGCGAAGAAAAGGCTCAAGGATGCAGTCCCTCACATCAGTCTGTTCCAGATAGTCCCAGCAGAGCTGAGGTATTCTGTTGACCTGGCTTCCTAGCAGAAAATAGGCTCTTCTCTTATGAGCTAAAACAGAGGCAGACCGTACACCTACAGCAGAAGCACAAGAACTTCTTTACCAGTTTGCAGTCACCTACTCAGACAAGTAGATATCACAGAGACAAAACCAGGCTTCTTATAAACACCATTACTTGCCCTTCTACTCCTTTGTCTCGTCAACCACTGAGAGCTTCTGAAACACTCTCTTGGTCAGGTTAGTCTCCTGGCACCTGTGGGCTTTTCATACCTCCGTAAGCGGGATTCAAGGAAGGGCAGTCGCTCCTCTCTCAAGCTGCCTCCACACAACTCCCCTATTCCTGGTACAAGGAGGTCAACAGCTGCAACCTTTAAAGAAAGAAAACTAAGTCAAGCCAGATCACCATACAGTGTAAGGCAGAAGTACAGTTGACACTGATGGTTGTTTGTAAAAAGCTACTGTAATTCTTCCAGGGCACTTAGGTAAGTGTTTGCACATGCTTGAAAAGCCTCTTGTTGACAGAAGGCTCGGAGGGAACAACGATAATTATCAGTACATCTGCAGAAAACCTAAACAATTGCAGTGACGTTCCAGACTGAGGACATCTACATCATGTGGTGTGAACTGAATCCCATCATATTACTCTGGTGACCACCTGTGCCTGTAGGCAAACCTGTGCAGAGTAGAAAGAACCCAACAGCAGCTTACAAGGAAGCAAAGACACGCAGGCAAGTTTCCTGAAGGCCTGATTCTCTTAGAGTTTAAGCTGCTCTGATTCTGTACCTTATGTTTGCCTTCTATCTGCCCCCATTCATTCAGTCAGCTCTAGTGGTCATGATACAACTGGATCAATGGCATTCATTCTGGATCCCAGTGTTACCACATGCTGTTAGGTTTGGGCTGGCTGTCTCATCTGTTTTGTTTTCTAGGGTTACTTTCCCTATTCCACAGCTGAACTGTTGCTAGAATTAAAACCACTGAAGTGACAGTGGTAGACAGTGGGGTAGTTGCTCTTTTTAGCAGAAGCAATGCTTTTGTTGCCTCAGTTCAGTTGGGAAACCACACCTTCAAAGCATGAGACTTATGGAAAAAGAGCTTACTTCTTGTGCCCATCTGCTATTTGAGGATTACATGGATGCTACATTTGGATGACAAGAGAATCATGGGCTCCTAGGAGCCATGCAATTCTAGGCATTTCACCTAGTAGTACAGAAGTTTACCAGTAAAAGAACGAAACTATGGCAAACTTGTCCTAAGGGACTTCAACAAAAACTTAACGCTACCCAACTCCTAAATCTTCCTCCTCCTGTTGTTCCTGCTTTGGAGATTTCTTCTACAACAGGAAAAAGACTGGACATGATCAGCTGATGGTCATGTCTTATGTTGGACTTCTTGAGTGGAGGCCCAGCAAAAGACTATCCTCATCTGTCTGTCTATCAGGAGACTAAGACACATGCCTAGCCAAAAAAGTGGCGGGTGTGACCCATGGACTCACTGTGTGTTGAGGCCCATCTTCATTGTCCCGCATGTAGAAAGGTTTGAGGTCATATGGGTAGTTAATCACAAACACGGGAACCTCACCACAGTGCTTCACCAGGTACTTTTCATGTTCCGTTTGGAGGTCACAGCCCCACTGTAAAGACAGTAAAAGGGACCTGGGATCCTGCTTTGGTGCATCTTGCCTGTGGCAAGAGACACAGCAAAATCCCTGCATAGGACAGATGTGCAGCTTTGAGTAACATGAAACCAAGCACAGCAACTTCTCACGCAGATCACAGGGAAAATTTGCTAAGCAAAGGGAGTCTCTCGAGTTTTAAAGCAGAGCAAAGCAATGAAAATAATAGGGTTTAACTTTCACAGAACAAGGCCAGATCACCCCTGCATCAAGTCCAAGCATCTGGTATCAAATTAGAAAAAAACCCAAACAAACAAAACCAAAACCCAAACCCCACACTCTGCATAGCTGAAGGGAAATAGGAACCTATCCAAAGTCAGCTTACTCAATCCAGCAAACCAGCCTTACTTCAGTATTGCCTTTGGTATATAGAAAGCAACTTTGCTAGGCTGACCACTCTCTTCCTCTTCCCTGCTGTGTCCTGTTACATGCTACATTAATTCTCACTTAAGAAAACCCAGCATCCTATTAACCAATTATTTGTTATCAGAAACCCTGGACTTTTGCAATGCCCTTAATTTCTCCTTTCTTCCAGTGATGTTATAAATTCTGTGGCTTTTGACTAGAGACCTCCAGGCCATTATAGGATGTGCAAAGAATACTGAGGAAGTGGAAGGGGAAGAGGGGAACAGATATTCTGCAGACTCTCCTCATCTGAAAATATCCTGAGTTTGCCATCTCAGATCAATGTAGTACAGATACAAGATTTGATGTTCTGTGCCCACTTGTACACAGAGCCAAGACAGTTACCCACCTGGCTATGCAGGTGGCTTCAGCCAGAGGGTTATTTTCCTCAAAGCATCAGAATGAGATAAAGATTAATCAGTATACACATGAGATGAGCACTACCACAAATGCCTTCCCTACTGGTGTGTGTGTTTGAAATAGGGCAAAATACGATTTTTAGAAAAGTATAACCTAACAGTGTTAGGACTAGCATGTGATTATTTCCCAGTCAGCATCTATGCTTTGGAAAGACAAGGGATTCCCTTTACCTACACCTAGATCACATGGTATTTTGACATGTTTTTGGCTTATTAGTCCTTGCCAAACTTTTGGTGCTATCCTAGTATCTTTCCTTTATTTGAGGAGTAATGCAGCCACTCTCTTTAGATGATTGCTACTGAATCCACAACATAGCACTACTTGCATACAGGGAAAAGAAGTGCCTTTGCTAAATCCTTGGTCCTTCAACAGCAAACTCATCACTTCTTTCCCTGCAAATGTTACATGTTCTTCTGCTACAGATCTCATTCTTTATATTGCTCCCATTTCAACCCCAAAGGGCAAAAGTTATACCTGGGTTACAACTGAGCAAATACCTCACGAGGCAGATAAGCTGTGTGAAGTAACAACTCTTGTGGTATCAGAAAGAGGGAAAGGAGATCTTCAAAATTCAGACTGGTTGTGCACAAGCCACCAGGCAACTACCTACCTCTGGCTTGAAAGTGAAAGTTTGAGAAGCTTGCTTCAAAATTTCCACTGCTTCACTGTAGGAAATTCTGCAAGAGGAAAAAAAAAAAAAAAAAAGCCTTTAAGATAACTATGAAAGGAATAACAAGAAAGTTTTATGGCTAAATGCCACACTGGAAAATTAAGAAGGCATTTCCCCACCACCATGCCAACTTGTGCTGTGATGTCAGACTTCCCAGCAATGCTTCTTTGGACAGAAACCAAAAACCATTTTATATGGCAAGAACCCCATGTTTGCTTGTGCTTCAGCTACATGCAGGGCAGGAAGTACCAAGCTCTCAAGACACTTATTGCAATGTTGCATTTCAGTCAGAATTGAGCTCTGCAGAGAACTGCTTTATAGAAATTTGTGGATTTTTTAAAAAGAAAACAATGTGACCTCATTGGCATAGCTCCAACAACATAGCTCTACCGTACAAGGATGGTGTTAGGCAAAAGTAACAGCCCAGAGTGCACAAACATTTTCATTTTACTTTGCAAAAATTGTGAGATTTGCAGCAATGTTTCTCTACTCTGACAGATCTGAGAGAAAATCTTCCACCGACTTCCACCAGTACAAAAGAATAGCATCATGGCACAGCAAACAGAGAAAGTGCGGTGAAAGATGCTGCAGGTTTGATAACTGGAAATCAAGACTCAATGGAAGATACTTTTGCTGACAAGTTTTCCACATACCAAGGAAATGTTGTGGAGAGAAGAAAGAATAACCTGATCACAATAATTTCATCTCTCTGTATCATTGGCTAAATCCAATTATAAACCAAATTCTCTAAAGAGCATGAGCTCTTTACACCCAACTACAAGGTTTCACTAATACAGGGAAGGCTTCTGGAGGAAATTCCTCAAGAAGGAATATACTGCTCCGTGTGTTTGGGTTATGCGAGGCCATGGTCCAAATGAGGTATATCACTGGCTCAGGTTCAATGCATGTAACTGATGTGTGTAAGCCAGGAATGCCACAGATCTGCCAGCAGCTGATGGAGAGAGAGAGGGAGGGAGGGAGGGACTCACTCACTCTCTTTTTCCTTGGACCACGGGAGAATCTGAGTGCAACTTCTCCACAGTATCAGTTAGGTCCAAGGAGAGAAGGGCTGAAATGGGGAGACAGTGACTTCATTAAGGTTTCCCATGGTGCTCATGCAGGCACAAGGCACAGGGAGGATCTATCATGATCCTGTTGCCCAAGTGTGGCTGTACTTGATTAACAGGAAAGGCAGTGCTGGGCTGAGGAGCTCTACAGTGTTCTGTGGGATGAATGGAGAGCACCACTATTTTAAGAGATAGGCAAGAGTAGGGAGAAGGAGATACTCTTGGGGGCCAAGAAGGGAAACCAAAACTCTTCAGTTCTTTAGCACACAGAGAACCAGGAAAAGGAGTTGCACAAGCAATCGGAACAGAAAAATAATTGGGATTTTTAACTATCAAAAAATTCATTTATAAATAGGAAGCCATTGGAGTGGAAGTGTGAAGGCAGAGCACTAAAGCCAAAACCAAGCAAGACTGTAAACAAACCACTGTGCAGGTACATGCTGGAAGGAGGATAGCCTTTATAGAAAGAGGATCTTGATCTTGACCAGGGAAGCAAAAGCCAAAGGCCAGCAGATTCAGATGCCAGTCTCATAGAGAGATGAAAAGGCAACTGGTGAACAGTACAAAGGGAACTGCAATTCATGCTCTTTTGGAGACATTATGCTAACCCAGAAGACAATGAGTTGGGAAAGAAAAAGAACATATACAAAATAGGAAGTGTCCCCAAAAGCCCTCTTCCAGATCATTTTGAAAGTACTTACGTCACAAATTTGTTCTTCAGTATTTGTTCCAACCTGTCCTTGGTCAAAACAAGAAAAAAATAATGTAAAGCTACTTTTAAGGGTTCAGAGGCCCAGAGGAAACTCAGAAAAGCTACTTCCCTCTAAGTTTTAATTTGTAGGTCTGCATTATGATCTAGATATGGGTCAAAATCTACTCCCAGACATTCTGTGCTAAAAGGGTACCCAATTACTGGAGCTGATGATTCAGAGGCTGCTACATGATGTGACAGCTCCAGTTCTACCATACTTGCTACCAGCTACAGAAAGTTCTGTCTCTGCTCTCTGCTGGCCTGAATGACCACTTAAGCTTAGGCTGACTCTTACCTCTTCACAGTTTGTTAACACTGGACAACACAGTAAAAAAGAATAATAAAAAAATTAAGCCTCTCCACAGCCAAGAGCTCCGAAAATGCATAACAGAATTGCAGGTCTTTCCTCTCACATTTATTACCTTCTGGGCAGGAGCTATGTATTTATGAAAAAGCTCAACATCACGAGGACATTTGGAGAGCACAGTGCTTGTTGCTGTCTTGAAAAGATCTTCCATAACCTAATAGAGAAAAAAGGAGTGCATGAAAATTAACAATGCTTAGATGTCCCAGACTATAAATAAAACACAGTATACATCAGCCGAAGGGCACAGAAGGAGCTTCTGTCCTTCTGCATGGTCCAACTGCTAAGACTACCAACTTGCTGATGCTCCTAATTAGCAGGGTTGCTCAGTATCTGAAGAGGGCTGGAACCTGTATTTCTGCTATGGGTTTAGGGCTTCAGTGTCTGCTGGTGGCCTCAGTATCTCCAGTCAGGTATCTCCAGTGAAAAAAGCACAGATAAAATATTCAAGCAGCAGCCCTGGTCAGCCACAAACGCACACATTACAACCACTTGTGGTGACTGGTCTCAGATTCATTATTAGTGAGGTGTCTGTACTGTAATGAGTAATTCTGGTTTTCTGCTTTGTTGTTAGAAAAGGAAGAACTAAAGGAGAGGAGAATAAACGTGTGCAGTGTAGAGCCAGCCCATCAAACAGATGCCATCTAGAGAGACTTTGTGCAGCAAGAGCAAAGCAAAGGAAACATGTACACAGATGATTAGAGAGCTAAAGTGGAAGACACAGCAATGCAGGGATGTTTGAGAAACTAAAAAAATATGTGGTTTCATTTCCCTAATGTGGATTAACTAAATGACATTATAATCCAATTTGGATATACTTATCCAGTAAAATGGGCTTCATCCATGAAGAAATTAAAATGTCATTTTGGTTCTAAACAAAAAAAGCCCCCACGTGGGATGCCACTGCATTTTGATCCACCTGTTTTAAGAATAATTTTCTCTTTTGATTAAGCAAAGCAGACCGTACAAGACACTTGCTGCTGTGCAGATTAAGAGTTCCCATGACTCCTCATAGTCTTACACCTGCACAAAGTAGGCAGTTGATACCTGTGTAGTACTGATGATCTCAACTCTTCTTCAAAATCACCCTCCTTATTCTCATCTCCTTTGTAAGGAACACAGCAATGCAACTAGGCTGCATGTCATCTCAGCCTGGGATGGGACCAGGTTTTTCCCAACAAAAGGACCTCTGAAAGTCCTGGCACAATCCTTGTTTTATTTTCCTGTGAGCATAACAAATGTTTCATTAATTGCAGAGTTGAGAGAAGCAAAGTATCTACCAGTGATATCCAGGTAAGTAGCAGCAACTAGACACTGCAAAGCCCAGAGCAGACTGATTGTGAAAAGACAAACCTGACGTTCAGTCAGCAGATCTGAGGAAGAAGCAGGTTTCTGCCTTGCAAAGAACCAGATCTTACAGGGTAAGGGGAGTAAAAGGCACAGAAAAGAAGCAGCTGGGCTACTGCCATAGCCAAGGTGAGATTTCAGGCATGTTGTTCAAACTCTCACATTTAGAAGAACATCCTTCATCACCTGTCCCAAACTGCTGAAACACTGCTCTGTGCTGATGAACTACCTCTGCATCCCACCAGCCTAGAGAAGCTGGTAAATCAGCCCATTTTGACTCCTCTGGAGCCAAACTCAGCCTCCAGACTCCTGCATCAATCTGGGCCCTCTTTTTAAAAAGGGAAGATCCAAATAAAGGAATAGCATTGTCAGATGCAGATGAACAGTTTTACCCCTACTGCTACTCAAACACAGAGGAAATGAAAAGCTAGCATTCCTGCTGCTGAGTGGCAAATAAGCAGTCAGCTTTGAACTTGCTTCAAAGTAGCTAGAAAAAGGCTTATGCAAATGAAATTAGAAAACTTCTTGGCAATTCATCTGGTTTCACCAAGCAGAAACGAAGGGATTTTACATTAAGCTTCCTCTTTCTAGAAAATGAAAGTATCATCTGGTTTCAGAAAAGCATGTTGTTTAATTAGCACTTTTTTTCCTCACTGTGCGATAAAGTAACAATTAGGTTCCCACAGCATTCAACACAAGCAGCTTCCTCTTGTGGAAAAAAGACGTGGGTGGTATGGGAAAAACAATCTGAGAAATATTTCCAGGTTTGAGACTGAGGTTTTATCCTGGCAAAAAAGACAGACACGTGGGTCATGCATTGGCCTCCGCACTGCTCTTATTCTTATTTATGCCAAATGTGTACTAGGCACGAACAGTGGAGGGAAAAAAGGAAAACAAAAAAAGCTTTCGAACTGAGAAGTTAGGGATTTAAGCAGGTAATATAATGAAGGACTGGAAAGTAGGATATATGAAAAATGAGTGAAGAATCATAACCACTGGCTTTCTGGTTTGAGGGAACACATGAACTGGAGATACAGGCAAAGTGATTGGTTTGAATGTATCCTGAAAGAAGTATGTTTGATAGGAGACTTATACATGGAAAAAGCCACTGGAATCACAGCAACTAGCTCATCTCAGAGGTGGGACTCCTGATGTCCAAAAGCTCATTAATTTGATTGCTTCACAATGGAAATGTAAAATTGCGCTGCTAGGAGGGCAGAGGTAAGTTTTCCCTTTTCCCTCATCCCTCCCAGCCTTTGTCTCTTGATTTTCACCTTTCAAAGAAGTTCAGTGATATTAATGTTGGCCTTCCCTGATGTTGCTGTGGAACTTAAGGGTTAACAGTCCATTTTTGATTAGGAGCAACTCCCAACTGTATTGTTTAATTTTAACTTGGATCTTTTGATACTGCAACTTACCCTCTTCCCAAATAAAATTGTGACCAGAGTTGAAACAGAGGAAATCATCAACAAAACAGCAGTAAATGTAGCGCACAGCACATTCATTTGCTGCTGCTGACAACAAGGGTTCAAATCATCATCTTTACTACCTGACTCTTTCAGAAAAATCACAAGAACTGCTGTAGGATTTTTGTTTATGTATTTACCCGGGGCATGCATATGAATGCTGTGCAGATCACAGGATAATTACCAATGAAACATTCACCAAGTGGACCATTATTTCTTGCCTTCATGCTGGCTCACACACACCTAACGTATGTGCACACAGACACAGAGGGGAGATTTACATCTAATCTTGGTCATAAAGTCTCCTCTCTCGGCGATATAACCACGAGCTCAGGACCCGCTCTGGAGAGATGCTGTTACAAAAGGAAGGAGACTCTCGTCTGTGAGACCACTGCTTCACTGGCCCTCGAAGTTGAACAATAAATGCTGATGGAAGTTAGGAAACAGAAAAAGACTCAGCTGTGGCAGCTAGATGACATTTTGGAGAAGGAACCTATAGCCCTGCGGATAGCCCAATGTCACTAAAGAGCGCTGTGCAAGACACTCGAAACAAACCTTTCCCATATGATTACCAATGTTTGTTTCCCTTGAAACTGCAGTGAGATTTGCCCAACTGTCTTAGCCTTGGCACTGAAGACAGAAAGTACTCGAGTGCAAACTATTCTGGAAATCAAACCACACTCATGTTTCAGATCTAAGGTCCCTGAAACTAGCACCTAAAATCAGTGCTACTGTTGATTTCATTCCATGCCTGCATTCCCTTCTCTAAAACAGAGGGAATAATGCTTCATGTCACTGGGCTGTAATGACAGAAAATTAATTTTTGTGAAGTACATAACCAGTGAAAGACAATACTTCTGCCCTCAGGACAGAGCTCAAATACTGTGTGTTAAATTGTATTCTCCATCTCAAAGAGATGTATTCTCCATCTCTTAAAAAGACAGTGGTGCTAGGATGTCATCTTGTTAAGGAAGACTAACACTATGCATAAACTCCCAAAAATGCCCTCAGGAAAACTTCCTTCTGGCATTTCCTAACTTTACAGCCTAAATAATGGGGTTTTAAGCATGGTTTTGTACGTGCGTTTGATGAAATTCAATAATGACTGCATTATATGGCCTCTCTGAGATCCCATTAGTGTCATGAGTGAAGTGGAATCCTTTAAATCCACTGCACTGCCAAGACAGTGGAATGAAAAACAAAAGATAATGACCTACAAATACAGCTACATGACATAGCACAGGAGAGAAAGGGAGTGGGTGGCAGTGAGCATCTTGGAGGACAGATGAGATGGGAGACTCTGGACCTCCGGCTCAGGGACTGGAGGGGCGATGGCTCTAGTGAGTCCAGACACTTCCATACAAATTGGACTCCTTCCACTGTCTTACCTGACCTTCTTCTAACTCCCTCTCTTAGCCAGTTTGGAGGAAGAGTACCTTGGGGCAACCTGACTCAACTTCTTGATTAGACTGTTATGAGAAGTGGCCAGTCTCTCCTTAGATACACTTACATATACCCTGTACACTAAAGCAGTAATACTATCCATCACCCAGTCATGCAGCATAGAGTACTGCGCTGAGCACATGGGACTTTCCACAGAAAGTATTGTGAAACCAGTATGGTGAGAGTTTAAGCTTCTTTGTACTAAAACACGTTTTGGCACAGAACAGAAATTTAGATTGCATGATCAAGACACATGAGACTTCACAAGAACTGTGCTACTAATTTAGGAATAACTGAGCACTACTCTCTGCAATTAGTGGGGAAAAAAGGCCGTTGGTCTAAGATTTCAGGCACTCTGTTCCAAATACATGTAACTTTGTTATTAAATCTTCTTTTTCCTTTTATTTTGTAAGGAAAGCTATGTTTCTTTGGAGCTTTGGCTGAGAGAAAGATCTCAAGCCTCATCAGTGAATGGTAAACATGTACATGTTTGTAGCAAGACTCTTCTTTAATGGTATATAAGCAAATACTTCAAGATGTCCCTGAAGAAGCTGAGCATTCCCAGCACACTAACTTGCTGAAGTTAGAGGTATTCAGTCCAAATGTTGAATACCAATTTTAAAAATAAATTTTAAACAATCCAGCTCTTTATGTGAGGAAAAAGTTCAGATGTTAACCCTGGCCAAGAGCCCCCAAGGCTTTCCACTGGGCGTTTTGCACCAAACAAAGAACTTGCAGATGACGACAAACAGACAAACTGCCCAACGGGCAGATACATGAGAGAACACTGAATTTAGGTCAGTTATGTGGGGAAAAAGAAACTGAACTTTGGCTTTAGAGCAGCTGTCAGTTCTTGGGTTTTTTTAAAAGAGAAATTGCCCAATAATTCAAAAATAAACAAAATGGGAACTCCACTTCTGCAAATGAGAACATCACAAAAGTAAGCATGTTGCAATGCAGACTCACTATGAAGAATGCAAAACGATGGCTGCTAGGAGACTCTCTGTTATGGGGAAAGATGCTTGTCAAAGACTTTGGGACAGAGGGAAGAAGTGAAAGAGGAGAGCACGAGCTGAGGCTTCACAACATGTTTAGCAACAACAAAAGGCAAGCCAAGAGGGGGGAAGTTCCTCCTGCAAATAAAAGCCCTACACATTCCAGAACAGTTCTCAAATTAATTCGCTGAATTGTCTGAACTGGCTGTCTATACTTCAAAAGCCAAGAAATTAGGGTTCTCAGCACAAGAGTACAGATACGTTCATGCTGTGTTCAAGGGCTCAAACACCACTTAACAGAAGATCCTGCTTACTATACTACATAAAAGCAGTGAAGATTTCAATCAGCTCCTGACTACCCAGAGAAACAGGGGGCTCAGCAAGGAAGGCATAAACATATACATATGCTATGCTCTAAGAATACACAAAGTTGTTTTGGAGAAAAGGAGAGAAAAAAGAAAGAGTGGGATGCTTTTAATGATGGAGCCCAGAGATTCCCAGCAGGTGAGTCTACACAGCCCAGTGACATCCAGATATCCAAGATGCAGAAGCAGCACACACAAGAGTCAGAGAATGTCTGCTCTGCTGTCAGGCCATACTGGCTCAGCAGACTGTATATAATCCAAGCTGAGGAAACCACCACCTGGATGCTATTTTATAAATCTGTAGCCAGTGCCTCAGGTCTTTTTCTTTTTAAGGCTATTTCTCCAATAGCTTTCCAAGGAGTGTGTCTGATACATGACAGCACATGGATGTTTACTCACAAGTCCTACTGGGCATAAAATGGCTTATGCTGAGGCTAGTAAAATGCATTAGCATCCATCATGTGGATAAACTGCAACTGAGAGGTCAATCCTGAAAAATCAAAAGCTAGTTGACTAAGGATTTCTTTCAGTCTTCTGCTAAAGCCACCATGAATAGTGTATGCCAGGAACTGTTGTTTCTACTTGAAATTTCAATGCAGGATTCAAGGAGCTCTTTACAGAGCACACCGAGGGACACACTGCATAAATACTGCTCAGATTCACTAGAAAGATGATGAAGGTTTTGAAGGGGAGAGTGCCCCTTTCATTAGCACCAGTCAAGCACATTTACACATTTCCTGGCAACACAGCAACTCCGCAGCCTCTCATTCAGACCAGGGCTGTGTTCTTTTTCCTTCCAAATCCCCTCTGTGACCTCACCTCTGCTGAGCAAATCCTGATCCTTGGAAAGTACCTGTGCAACCTCTACATGGCTTTCACAGGGTGAGAGGAGCTGCGACCTCAGTTGAAGGCAGGAAGAAATAGTTCTGGTACCAGTCCTGCATAGACTTTTGGAGTGCTCACCTGCATGATGTCTTGGAGGCTTTCAGTGAAGGACAGCTCAGCCTCCACCATATAGAACTCTGCCAGGTGCCGGCGACTCTGCGAGTTTTCTGCTCGAAATGTCGGGCCGAAGGTGAACACATGGGTAAAAGCCCTGCAAAGTGACAAGAAACAGGTAGGTCAGGCCCAGCACACAAGTGAGTCTGTTATACTTAAAGCACCTGCTTTTCCCCCAGGATCTGGAAACATTCCATTTCATCCTTGACCAAGTTAATGGCATGGCTGGGTATGCTGCTGTTATGTTCCTTCATCCAGGCATGGAGAGGGGTTATTCACACCTCTCCATGACTCAGGGAGGTTGCACAAACCTTAATTCAGCTTTCACTGAACACCATCTGTATTTGCACTCAGGACACTTTTTGTAGCTGTGTGGGAATAAAAAACAACATTCTACAGAAACAGATCACTAGAGAAGCACCCGGTCATCTCATCTGTCAGGCTTCCCACATCCATGTCCCTTCACGTTTGTTTGGCTGCAAGGTCTGATCTTTATGGGTGCTGTGACACCCCAGAGCTCAACATAGCAGACAGGGTCCTGGTGCTAGAGCTGCTGGGTTGGTGTTAGCACCGAAAGGGGAAGCCCAGCAGGATGGATGTATGCTGTGTGGCTTGCAGTCCCCCTCTAGTGGCAAGACCAAAGTTTATTGCCGAAAGAGCCTTCGAGATAGAGAACTGGGCTCCTTCCACACAGCTAAAAATGGTTCAGCTAAAAGGGGTCCCTGTTGGAGAGAACACACCTGGGCTATCATTTTATGCTGAAGCAACCAATGCATTTCCTATTATGAAGCTATTTCTCCAGAAACCTTCTGGGGAGTCTATTTAAATACATCCTCTCTTGTCCTGCAGTCACATCATGCTGCGTTACACAGGATACAAAAAACTTCTTGAGTCTCCACTTCCTGCGTAAGAAACCTTCTTATCAAACAGCAACACACCTTTACAAGTTTTTATTTTTACCGTGGGGAAGCTGCACTCCAAGCAATTCTTTTTTTTGCTGTGGGCTAGGAGCACTTGGGCTCCTGGACATCCTCAAGCCAGCAAGAGCTTCCCAAACAGATGCTGTGACAGCTGTGTTTCCTCTCATGCTGCATGGGAAGCAAACCACACTGGGGGAGAAAGTGAGTTGCTTCAGAAAAAACATAGACTGGGCAGCTGCTATCTTTGGTACATCTTTAACTTTCCATTATTTTTAGCTGTAGACCATGTGTAGGAGAAAAAGAACCCGATCAGTAGAGATTAAGCACAGTTTGACACTCATGAAAGGATGCGTGCTAATTGCTGGGGTTGGCATTTGACTTGCATCTTGCTCTGCAAGCTTTCAACTTAAAGAGGATATTCACTGAATTTTCTGCACAGGCTAATTTTGTTAAACTGAAGTTTAAATAAACAATGCTACAAAACCCAGCATTTTTCCTTTGCCCCTTATGGAGGCATCTGCACTGCAAATGAAGGAACACACACATTCTGCTTCACTCATCTGTTCCCTCATGTCACGTGATGGTTAAAAGTTACAATCCAAAGAAACAGCACTTTTTTTTTCCCCTTTAGTTGCTAGTAGTAAACACACCAGACGAAAGTTCCAGGGCAAGACTCTGAATATGTAGCTTGCCTGTAGGTTTCTTCTCCCCACTGGCTCTGCTTTCCCTGCTCCAACAAATACATTGTCTCTACTCTGCTCCCATACCTGAACTTTCTTATACATGACCACAGCATCTACGATGCTAACCAGATTTTGACGCAAACATTTTTCCTCAAGCATAATTTTTAGCATGCCTCTTCTCCCTCTGTTGCCTTTATCGCTTGCTGCAATGTTACTGTAAACTTCTGCCGTCACTTGATCATCCTTCTTCAAATTGCCCTTTGCTATAGTGTCTATAAAACCTCAGCAGTGTTTAGATAAGTGATGTACCAAGACTATTACTCACTGCACAGGTCAGTATTATCTCATCAGTTCCTTGTGCTCCCCCATCTGTAGCCATCTGTTGTCTTGGGTTATACAGAAATGCATGTTCTTCCTCAAAAGGCCTTTTTGTTTTGTTGGTGTTTTTTTTTTGTTTTTTTTTTTTTCCCCAATGTTCCTACAGCACCTGGCACAACAAGGTCTTGGATCCAAAGCCTAAGAGCCTCAACTGCTATAGCAATACAAACAACAAATATGAAACAATGAGTCACTTGGCCAAAATTCTTCAATGTTTAAGGCAGAACTGGTCAAAAACTTTTGTCTGCCAGGCCATGGAGGTTGGCCTATAACGGGAAACAGGAGACACAGGTTCTTGGGCTACCTGTTGCCCACGTTGCAGGCTTTTGCTAAAATATTTCAATTTGGGGCTCTTCAGTTAAGGAAATAATTTTCCCAAAATAAATGAGTTCAGTCAAAAGTTCAGACTGTGACTGGACCAGGACTGGACATAAGACAAAAATATTTTGTAAAGCTTGCAACTGCTGAAGTACCCACTCAAGTCTGCTTGGTTTGAGGTGTGTGTGTCTAATTTCTCACTGACATGAAGTCCTCACAGTAACACTTAAAACCAAAGCGTGACACCAGCTGGCTAGCAGGAGATCCTGTCCCACAGAGCAACAGTCTGGCTTCAGTGAGACATGTTTCTCAGCGGCTGTCCAGGCACTGACACTTCAGCTACTGCAGGTTACCATGGCAGATGAGTCTCCAGCAACGCAGGCTACTATGAGCACCTTGAACTGTACTTATTTCCTACTGAATAGCAGCTCAGGAATGATCACCAATTACTTATCTTCCAAGGGGTTTGCTGGCTGCAACATAGGTAAAAATAAAAAAAACATCCTTATTGCTCCAAGATGTCAACCGTGGTCAAACAATTCACAGTCATAGATCAATTTTGTGCTGCAAGAATAAAGCCTCTCTGTGCCTGAGACGGAGGTTTTGGGAAGGACAAATGTAGAACAACTCCCCCAGGAACCCATTTCAGTCTTTTCTCAGCTCTAGGCATCCTGTCGGGACCAACCTTACCTAACTGGTACACCGAGCACCGCCTACATTTATAAAACAAACCATTAGTACTGCAACTTCATCAACTATGCTAAGGTGCTCAACAACAGCCTCTATAGTGTTTTGTAGGTTATCTATGTTAGATTCTCTATAGAACCTCATATCGCTGGTGTAGGGCTGAATTTGCCTGCCTGAAAAAAACCCAAAACCTAAACCCACATCGGCAGGGAGGTGAGGAATCATTCATTTCTCAGGCTAATTGTAAAGGGAAAAGATAGAAATAACTGTGAGAACTTCACCACGATCCTGGGACCCTGGCAAAGGGAAACGAGCCAGATGTCATGCTGGCAAAGCGATCAAAGGAGCGCAGTAAATGCAAGTCATCTGGTAATGGCAATTCAGCACTGACCAGAGGCCTGGACATAATAGAGAAACACAGCTAAAAATACATATAGTCACTGTTATCAACTCCAAGCGTGAACAATTATTATCCAGGCATTCACATACTGTTTATTGTGCTCTGCCATTTAAGACATCAAGCAAATGCACACTACACAAATCTGACATTTATTTGTACTTCATCTGCTATTAAAAAAATATAACTGTGATTTGATACACTGCTGTATCACACTGAGTATGTATAAATATATTAGAAAAGAGGGATGGGAGCTGACTCCACTCCGATTTCATGGTATCAAGGGCCAAACCAGTCATTTTGTTCTGTGTGCGTTCAGCACCTAGCACAATGGAGCCTCAGTCCAGGGCTGTGACTCCTATGCTCTACGATGAAAATAATCAATCATTTAACATTCCCAGACCTCTGCAAGACTTCCAGCATTTAAAAATAACTTGAAAATTCTGGCTAAGTGTCCAAAAGTGCCTAGGTCACTAGGGGTTGTGGGCACTCAAGTGTCTTTCAAAAAAGTCAGTAGTGCTAATTCCTCATCTACAACAAAAGCACACCCACAGAAGGGGGAAAAAAAAAAAAAAAAAAAAAAAGAAAAAAAAAGCAAGCCAAATAATCTGTTGAGCCCCTTTCCTTAGCCATTACAGGCACAGTAGTAATGTCTGTAACACTGTCCTTGTACGTGCTACCAAAGAACACAAGAGAGGCTTTGAAACGAGTCCCTTTGCAGTCAGCTTCACCCAGATCAGAGCTCTGGACAGCAAGCCCAAGTACATTTATGCAGCTCACCAGGCGCTGCCAGGGTCAACACCAGAAGAAGGCACAGAGCCACTTAATTAATTGCTCCCTTTCTTGGACTGTATTTTGCTTTGCCCAGTTCTCTGGGAAAATCTGAGAGCTTAATGTGGAGGCCAAGAGAATACCCCCAGTACTCCCTCCAACACACTGAGATGCTGCAAAAGCCAGGGCCCCATCCTGCAAAACGCTGAGCTTGCTTGCCCCAGCCCTGTGAAGGGCTTTGCCACCTTCCAGGTACAGGCTGAGAGTCCCTTTGGATGCAGACAGCAGCACTCGGATGGGCTGCTGGAGCACAGCCCTCCTCCACATGGATGGTTGCTTGGTCGAAGCTCATTTTTGCACAGGCTGCATTTTGTGATCTCCACCCTATGAACACCCAAGAAGGGAAAAATTTCCCCCTTCTCACCCTTATTTTACACACTACTAAGACCCTCTTCAGAAACAGCTACTTCTCTCCCTTTGAGAGCTTTATGCCACACAGAATGAAAGCTCATTTCATTTGAACTCATTGACAATTCATTATTGAGGCAGTGATAGAAACCAATAGAGAAGTATAAAGTATCTGTGCCCAAAGCTGCTTAAAATCATTCTTTTAATTAAACTTGCACAATGTTTTTAGGCCTGAGCATCTCTGCCTTACTGGCAATTTTTACACTGCAATCCAAATATAATTAATTGTGCCGATGGCTCCCAAGCCAGAAATGGATTGTGCTCCTTTGCTAAGCCAGGACTCCAACGCTGCTACCGGGGTAATAAAGACTTATTTGTGCTGCTGAACCAAGGGGATACGACTGTGAGCAAGGCTGTAAATCAAGAAGATGCAATCCCTGCACAGTCTGCTTACAGCCTATGCCAAGGTCATGCCACACGGTAGTGACACAACTGGAGGCAGAATTTGGTTGTTGTGACTCAGGGCACTAAACCA